GTGGTGTGTGTGTGTGCACTCAAGGGGTGTCTGCCGCGGATAACAGAGCAGGCAGGAGGGGGAGAGGACAAGGAGAAGAGCGGTGGACTTATTTCTAATTTTATCTGACTTATTTAATTAAATTTTTATTTTTTTATCGTGCAGGCTCTGATGGGAAATTGATTTGAAGCCGAGGTTTTTTATTTTTATAAAAATCGTTAGATTACTCTAAAGCAAAATGAGGGAAAATCTGTGTCARTTACAGACATTCTGTTCAGGTGAGCAGCTGTCAGTCAGCACCTGTCATCCTCCAGACACACGACGGAGCGTATCTGAACCAATCACTGATCAGCTGACTGATTTAAATACATCTTAACATTCATGAGGTACTTTACATTGACTGTTTATGGTTGAGTGTGGGCGTGTAGAGGGTAGAACCTGAGGAGGACCTCGTGCGCAAACTCTGACGTGCGGCTGTGATTTATAAAGGAAAGATGCACAGAAACATGCGTACACATGGTTTTATAAATCTGAATTTTTTTTGGCGTACGCCATTTCTGCCTTTTGGCCGTACGTTCACTTTTAGTATGGTTTCCACACAATCCTTTATAAATGAGACCCCTGGCCTGTCGATGATTGTAAACTGTAGAGTCCTGGCCTGTTGAGTGTAAACTACAGAGTCCTGGCCTGATGATGTAGTTCGTCTGTGCTGGCTCATTCTTTTGAACAGTGACTGTTTTGTTTCCCCAATGTATCACTGATCACAGTCCTCCTGACACTTAACAGCATACACTATATTGCTCCGTTTTTGCCGGGGAACTGGATCTTTGGGGTGAACTAATCTTTGTCGTAACATGTTTTGGGGTTTGAAAGCCACTGGGATGTCATGTTTAGAGAATAAACATCTCAGTTTCTCTGAAACTACCACCACATATGGAATGACGACTGGTTTGGGTCTGGGTTTAAGAGATGAATGAACCAATTGGCGAGCCCAATATTTGTACCTCAAGGGCCAGATGTGGCCAGTTGAATAGCCCTGACGGAAAGTGTGGCCCTCGGAGAGCTTTAATAGCAGCTTGGCTATCTGTTAAGATGAATATTTCCTTCTGTGTACACTGAAGGTCTTTGAGAGATGCCACACACTGGTGGATTGTATATATCTCAGCTTGAGATACAGTTGCAAAATAACCTAGCAGGTATTTATGCTCTCTCTTACTATGGTTGTGTAAAATCAGCACCCCTGCACCTACTGACCCCTTCAGAAGGGATCCATCTGTAAAACAGTAGAAATGATTGGGAG